TCTGCTACATCTAGATTTGACTGTAACTTCGAGTTATTCCCACCAGTTCTCTACCATGTTTTGGGGCAGACGGTGTTGATACCTCGTGCTCAGGTGAAGGCATTGTAGCACCAACAGCTGCGGACTATGGATAGTATGCGATCAGGGGGCGACTCCTATCTATTTCTCCACCAGCAGGCTGCTATTGAAAGCGGCCTGTAGCTATTACAGCCGTCTCGTTAGACTATCGACTGGGCGACAAAGGATGGTGGTGCTGCAACTAGTATAGTTATTGACACTGTTGTGTTGCCGCAGATGCTGCCATATTCATCAAGTGATGGGCTACTAACTCTCTGCCCCGAAGTATTGCCGAGTTACTTAAGGGCGTTGTTGCAAACGTGGTTAGACGTTGGGCTGCTGCTAATGGCCGGGAGTGAGGTCGCTGTTGTTTTCAGCAGTAACGCCAGACTCTTGCTACAGTGGTTTATAGGGGCCTAGAGTGTTGGTCGGTGCTCCTTGAGAATAATACTGTTAACGGGAGTGTCGGCATTACTACAAGCTGATTCTTACGGATCTGTGATGCAAAAAAACGCTGATATTTCTAGGCAGTGAGGACTGTTTCAGAGGGAGATCAGAGCTGTAGAAGTGTCCAATACATTGCTAAGTGTCGGATCTTGTCGTCCGAGCTTGGATCAGGTGGGCTGCTGCTTTGACCGCGTCTTGTTGTAATGATGCGTTCTCAGCCGCTATGCGAGCCACATCCAGTTGAGCTTGATTGCGATGACTGTGCTTCTCGTAGAACACGCGGGCGTGGTCTATTTGAACGATGTGTTTCTAGACTGCGCATGGTGCCTTTTGTCAGCAGCACTGTCGTACAAATCATTCGCCGGTCTAGGGTATGAAGGCGAGAAACTAATCACCCCGAGTAGTTGTTGGGTTCCCTCCGAGGATGCCCTCGGGATAGCGGGAGCTGTCGAATCCAGGTCACAACAAACTTCCGCACTATTGGTGCGAAGCTAGTTTGGGGGACACAAGAAAACGCAGATGTGAGGAAGGAGTAGCGCGTGTGCGAACATACGATCGAGCAAGAGAACGAGGGGGACAAAGACCACTCGCGGTTAACAACCACCTGAAATTTCAGAATGAAAGATTTTGAAGTGGTATGAAACCGCTGACATGGCCTGAAGACACTTCAGGTCATTTCAGAGGTTTTGGGTGGTTTGCAGAACAAGAATTATGTTGTTTTTTTTTTTTTTTTTTTGCCTGTTTTTTGAGCTTCTTCAGGTCATTTCAGGAATTTCAAGTGGGGACCTAAGACTGCTGAAGTGGCTGAAGCTTCTGAATGGGGTTTTAGGTACCCCCATCCAAATGGTTGGATAGGGGTCCCTGAAACACCTTTCAGAAGCTTCAGCTACTTAAGGACATTTCATGAATTTCAGGTGGGGACCTGAAACCGCTGAAGTGGCTGAAACTTCTGAAAGGGGTTTCAGGTACCCCCATCCAAATGGTCGGATGGGGGTACCTAAAACCCCTTTCAGAAGCTTCAACCACTTCAGGTCATTTCATGAATTTTAGGTGGGGACCTTAAACCGCTGAAGTGGCAGAAACTTCTGAAAGGGGTTTCAAGTACTCTCATCCCACCATTTGCAATTGATCAACCTGAAGTGGCTGAACTGCCTGAAGGCGGTTTCAGACAACTCCATGTATAGATCCACACACAATCCGAAAGTGTAGTAACCTGAAGTGGATGAACTGCCTGAAAGGAGACCTGAAGATATATGCACTCGTTAACCATCTCTCACAAAGACAAGAGAGAGGAAGGCACACAAAAGAAGAAAAAGGGCGGTGAAAGTAGAAGCACGGAGAGTGCACCTGGACTTGGCTCGCGCCAGATGCATTCGAAATAGGTGACGAAGATAGTGATGGAGAAGAAGAGGGGGTAAGAAGGCGGAAAGAACATAACGTCTTCAAATCCTAACGGATTTCGGCAAACTAAGAACCAAATCCGGGGTTTTACAGCAGGGCGAACGTGACAGTGAGGGCAATTTTGGAGTTAGACTAGTGGAGTAGGAGTTAGTGGAGAAGAAGGGGTGCGCGGAAATGTCGAGGGAGGAAGAAGAAGGGAGAAGGAAGATGGTGTATCTTGCTCATTTCTCGGTGAAAATGAGCAAGAGAAGATGCTAATCGTAGGATTCGAGGCAGTCCTAATCAGATGGCTGCGCTAGATTTTGAATCTTAGTAGCGGATTTGGCATTATCAAGGTTAGAGGCTGCGCTCTTTTTTCCTTTTCATCGAGTAAAACAAGTAGCAATGATTCTTCTCAAATCTAGGGGAAATTTCATTCTCTTTTGGCCCATTTTATGAGTGAAGGGCGGTTAAAACCGCGCGCGCCTGTATTAGGATCGATGCTGTTAAGCATTCGCCATCATGGGGATGATCCTCATGTTACCATCATGACTATTCGGTCCCTCATGCTCATCGTGCGCGACGTGCCCACTCGCATTCGTCACTATTTCAGTTGGGCTCTGTCTTTCCCCTACTCAACTGCATTCTTCATGGTCGTACTGACCATCTCCATATGGCGGTCATCCCCATTGTGATCGTGATTGATGTGCTCATTAAGGCTGCTCGGGCATTCGGGATCGTCACTATGTGTGATGTTGGGCACGCCACAGTAAAGAAGAGGCCGCATGAACGTGGGCGAGAGGTTGGTCAGGTGCGCCATGAAAGAAGAAGTAAATAGATAGATTGTTAAAGTAGAAGCTGGGAACAAGGTTGAAGATGGGGGAGGTGTGGTGAATGCGAGATAAGTTGAACAGGGAGGAGGAAGCTTACCGACATAGCCCCGACGTTAAGACTTGCGGTGTATCTTGTCCAGTTCCCGCGGAAGATTCATTCTCATTTTTGCATGTCTGACGAGTGGTAGAGTAAAGACTCCAGATCATCACAACATCCTCTTTCTCGCCATTTTGGTAGTGTTGATCTCGCTTCGGATATCGTGCTGTTCACAGTGTTCACCCCCAAGCTCGTGCTCGACAAGAGGATCGTCGTGTTCAGGCTCGTGGGTGCAAGCGCTGTGCATTCTTCTTCTAAACATTGGCCGTTTTCCTACATAATAATCCCTGGTTAGAAAGTTGTGGCCATTCCTGAGATTACATAAATGAGGTAGAAGCTTAGTTGTTGGCACTCACTCGGTTGTATTCATCGAAGAGTGTGATAGTGCTTACCTCTTTCCAATTATCCTTTTGCTGTAGCGGTCTCCATCTTCGATGTTTACAGAGGTTCCAGTCATGACCATCCTTTTCATTGAGCTATGACCTTTCTCAGTTCAAGGTGGTAGTGCTGCTACCTACCTAACGAAACTGAGCAGAGATAAGGCAGTTGTAGTAACAGCAGGAGAGTGTGCCTGGGAGCATGGGCACGGGAAAGAGAGAAGGGGAGAGGGAGAGGGAGGTGAAACCAAAGGAAGGAAAAGGAGAGGGCGAAAAGAAGAAAAGTTGAAGGGGTCGTTTAGCTGCTCATAAGCGGTGAAGTGGAGCTGATTCGTTGATTTTGTGAACAAGCGAGGCCCTGGCCGACGTAGCAAGGGTTGACAGACTGAGACTTTCTTCTTGATCCTATAGGTGGTGAGGCAAGATTACTCTCAGTTAGTAAAGTGACTTGGTTGGTTAGTATAGTCGGTAGCTGAAATAAGTACCGTTGTTAGGCAAGACACTTTCGAGCATCGGTAGTTTGTGTATCTTCAAATACCCTTGCTTTGTTTACGGGCGAGCTACGGCTACTTGGGTTATGACTGTTGCAGATGACGACAGGCTGCCGCAGTTAGAAACACGAGGGGATGCCTGTGTATCTTTTGAACGGAGAACGCAAAAAATTGAACGCGCGTTCATCCGTTTAACGGGCCCCCGACCCCCGTTAAATCGCGTTAAATGCAAAAACGGGGGTGTCGCGTCGAATTTTGAAAAACAGAATTCGCGCGTTGGGCTTCGGACACGTGTACCTACGTGCCCGAACACTAAAACCAGAAAAAAAAATAAAAAAAATTGGCTGCCAACCCCCCCCCCCCCCMCATTTCCCCGGGGGCCCCAATTTTCCCAAAAACGACCCTTTCACCCCAAACATTCCTCCGACCTCCAAAGCTGCACACCCACCCCCMCYCACCACCGCTCACCCCCGACCCCTACTACCCGGCCGCCCCACMCCCCCMCGGGCCCCMCCCMCAACCYSCCCCMCACCCACCCMCCAMCCCCMCYCCCCMCCCCCCGACCCCGCCTAACCCCTCCAAATAACCCCAAACCCTCCCCCCCCATTTAACAGTTTGCATCTTACCCTTCCCCCCACAAATATAAGTTAGTACTTCATACAATGATAATTTAATTCCACAATCAACACAGAAAAGAAAAAAAAAAAGAACAACCACACAAACAACTCTTTAGGCAAAAAACTAAAGTAGAATTGTACAAGAAACAAACGCAGGAAATGAGATTGCAAATGATAACAACAATGAAATGTATAAAATCACACCAGATGAAAATGGTCACGAAAGCTCGCGCACGCCGACCACGACGAGCATCAATCGAAATTGAAACTGTACATGAAAAATGTACTGTGCATGAAAAGTCCTCAACAACGCAAAGTAGCTGTCACTGAAAACAGAAATGAAAAATGCAACATATGCAATGTATCCTACAGGCCACTACTAAGGCAGTGGTACCACATGTCGAAAAAAAAACAAACGAAACTGTAGTGTACAAGCCGTGTCGTACCTACTCTGCGAACACCCTACTGGTCCAACGCTACTCTACGAACACCATACTAATACCAAAATCATACACACTGAAAACAAAGGAAACATTATCTAATACATCTGTAGCACGCTGCACGCACGCAACCACTGAGAGCCTAACAACACTAAGACAAGACGAGACGACCAAAAAAACTAGGACGGCACAACATGACGAACCGCAGTGCGACCAGGGGAAAAAGGAGTTTTGGCCTCATCAGTCATCGACGCTTCTTCCCCTTCCCGCTCTGTCCCCGCGTACCCCCTTATGTGCCGGATGTCGAACTCCTCCCTCGTGCTGATGAAGAAGTCTGCGCAGCGCGCCTTTTGGCTGCACGCGTCGGCGGGGAAGGTGGGAGCTCCTGCTGGGCGTCGTCGTAGTCACCATCGGAACCTCTCTCGCTCTCCTCCTCTCCCTCCTCCTCGCCCTCATAGTCCTCGTCCTCCTCCCGCACTACCACATTTGTCTCAGGATCATCCTCCTCGATGGTGACAGGGGCTCCTGCCTTCCTCAACACAACAACCCTAGCACTAGCCTCTGCAACCGTCTGCTCACGGCGCGATCCACGAGGCATTCCCAACCCCTCTGCCCCCGAAGTCTCTCCAAGTGAGTCTCCTCCCTGTAAGGGCACGGGGCGTGGACGAGGAGGCACGCCGCGCTTGCGTGGAGTCTGCTCAAGTACGGCATGCGTCGCTGCTCTCAGAGCGTGCTCCAAGCTATCGACGGACACTCCACTGCCTCGACCTCGCTGAGGCTCACAACCTGATGCTGCCACCTCCCTCGCTGCGGCCATCCTGCCGCCGCGGGGTCCTAAACTCGGCCGTAGACATGCGGTGTGCTCCGTGACACGGCGGGTGGAATCCAAATCTATGTCTGTCCTTTCGAACAACGCTGTGTCACTCACGTCCCCCACATCGAGAGCCTCTGCCTGTGGGCGACGATGACGGATCACCTACAGGTGGTCTAGGAGGAGGGGGTGGCATGTCTCTTGTACGTGGCGCCGTCTCCACGACGCCACCTGAAACCCCTGGAACATCTCCCGTCGTACGTGCTCCGGTGGAGGTAGACCCAGACCACACCGGGGATGCAGGACCCCATGGAACTGGACGGATCGCCTGCCATGCTGGATGCTGTAGCCTCTGGTCAAAGATCCGCCGGTCCAAGCGAGTCACATCGCGGATAGCCTTTCTCGCCAACTCGTCTGCATCCAAAGGACGACGGACCTCCTGCGGAGCAAAGTGACTAGGAAGACGCGGTGGCGCAACCACCGGCTCGGACCCCAAATCCGTGATAACGGGCGGCGGCACACCATGCACTGCCACCGGCACCGGCTGCGACTGTCGGCCCTGAGCCAAGTGCAGGCCTGAGAACGGAACGACTGGACCCGTCGCTGTCTCCTAGACCACACATCGTGCGTCACCCACACCCTCGTCTCGCTGTCGTCTTGCCTGCACAGCCTCATCCACCGCCTGTTGCAAGCCCTCCACATGAACATCCGCTGCCTCTTGCCCACCGTGCACAACCTCAACGTCCGCCTGTGCTACCACTCTCTCCACAACGTCCTCCCCCGCCACCACCCCACCTTGCACACCCTCCCCCTGCCTCGGCTGCCACCCCCTCCACAACATCCTCCCCCGAAACCACCCCAGTGACCCCACCCTCCACACAATCCCTCCCTGTCTCTCGACGCCTCGCATCCTCCAACGCCCGTGCAAACGCCTGAGCACGCGGGTTAGTCGATGCCATAAGTCGAGCCCTCTCTCGCTCCATGATGTCGCGTGCCGCATCCAGAGACCCCGTCGTCGTCTCTCTCTGGGGCTGCGTGTGACTCTCTCCAGCCGCGTTATCCCTCGATGGAGCGCGATCCATCGATGTCGCCCCGCCGCAGCTAGGTGGAACGCCCATCGACATATCTAAGTCCAGGTGGCTCCCCATCTGCGAATCCGAGATTCCCAACCCCCTCGCCACACCAGGAGTCATACCCGCCATGACCGGATCGTACTGCTCCGTGAGGAACTGCTGCATGAGGCGCTCGTCGCCGCCCCCATGCGACACCTCCGCCTGTGCCCCTATCTCATCCTCCACTGCTCCTGGCACTCCCCCCTCCTCTGCATCTGCTCCTCCAGCTGCTCCCACTGCTGCAACCACAAGCCCATCCAGTGTAGCTGCTCCTCCAGCTGCTCCCGCCTGGCCCTCCACTGCATCTGCTCCCCCTGGCGCTGGTGCCTCCTCCGCCAACATTGAAGCTGCCAACTCCTCTAGCAATGAAGTCGCTGCAGCTACAGCTATCTGGTCCACCACACCTGCAATCGTCGTGTCCTCCAATCCCCCCTCCACTGCCATCTCCCCCTCCACTGCTGCTGCCGATGGTCCCCCCTCCTCCTGCAGGACCCCCGGAGAAGGTGATCGTAACCTCAACTGTCGAACTACCCCGCCTCTGTGGAGTAGTCCACGCTGAGGCAAAGAGGACGCCAACTCCTCTGTGTCCTCTGCTGTTGTGGCCGACTCATATGGCGCGACGGGCGATGGCGGTGCAGGACTCGGAGGAGAAGGTGGCGACACGGACGACTTCCGCCTCGTCGAAGCGGGGCTCGTCGCCCGCGCTCCTGTGCTGCCCGTGGAAGCGACCTCCCTGAATGGCCCCCACTACTCCTCTCCCCCCATCATCTCCCTCTCCGCCCTGTCCGCCGCCCGTCGTGCAGCATATGCCCTGGTCTCCTCCTCGGGATCCTCGTGCGTCTCAAAGATCTCACGGGGAATGAGGAGCGCTGGGTGGTCCGCTGCCTCGGGTACCGGCTCCTCGTCGGAATCATCCTCCCTGGGGTAAGGACGGAAAATGGAAGCACGTCTACCGAATACGACCTCAGCGGCGGGTGGTGCGGAGACCCCGATGGGATCCCGGGTATAAGCCCAACCTGACGGGCAATCTCCTTCGGCGTCATCATCTTGCGCGTGCCCGTGCGTCTCGAACTCCAGTCTGGCCTGGCAGTCTAGCATGCCCTCGTCCCGCTGCCATGGCAGCACATAACCGCACCCAGCCCGCCGATACTCCGACGGCCGCACATTCGCGGTGATCTCAACGAGCTGAATGACCTTCTCAAAGGCCAACTGGTTGCGCTTTTTCGTGTGAATGCCCTCGTGGACTGCCCAGTTCCTCTCCGGTGGAGAGGCGCAAGACCACATGTGCATCACACGAAGAGCGCAGCGCTGCAACTCAGGTGCGCCAGACCCGTACTGAGACCACCAGGATGCGCACTCAATCGTCTCCCTGTCGCCGCTGCAAGCACGCCCACAAGCACGCCCCTCCCCCCCTCCCCAATCTCCAAATGTGCCCTGCTGCATGTGGAAGTCCTCAAACTACCGACATGCAATGATGTACTCCATACCATCCTCCTTGAAACCCGTTTGCATCAAAATGTACCTCTTGGCTTGCCTCACAAGCCAACGAGGGTAATCCCTCACCTCGCCTGAAAAATACTCAACATGTCGCCTGCGGGGGTTCAGTAAGAATCCTGCGCAGTGAGAAGGTTCCAGCATGTGCTGTGTGCGAGCCTGCACACGCCTGATGATGCGGTCAACGAAAACCCTCCCCAAAGGAGCGCATGCATCAGTGACACAGCGAACAAGATCCTGTGTCCACTCGATCATGAGGGACATGTACTGCCCCCCACGATCCATCCGCCTAAGCAGCTCCATGACGGGCTGCATGATGTGGAGTATGGTGGCCATCGTGTGCCACCAAGGCTCCCATCTGATCTGCCAGCGCACCCAATGCGCCATGTCGCACACATCGGCAAACCACGGTAGAGAAGCAAACTCCCGCCCGTCATCCCCTCGCATCATCGCCTGCAGAGCGTCCTGCAGGGCCAACAGTCTCTCCAACATAGAATAAACAGACGCGAACCGCGTCTCGCAAGAAAGCACAAGCCCCTTGTTGGGGCTGCGCTTCCTAAAGAAATGAAGGGCGGCCTGGTGGGTTTTGAAAAACACCACCGGAACAAGAGCGCATGTAATCGCGTCCACAAACGCATCGCAACTCGTCCCCATGATTGACAACAATTTGTTGCAAACATGGACGGAACATGGAAGCCAAGTGATCCTCCTGAGTGCAGGAGGGATGCCCGTTGTGGCCAATGCCCTCGCAGCCCCCACGTACGCCGATGCGGAGTCTTTGCATATCGCATTGACCCGCCGCGGGCCGCCGAAACTCAACTCGTAGAAGATGATCACCCATCTCCGAAGGACGTGCACTGCATCGTCCGGCTCGCCCTCGCGATTGATCGTCGTGTACACGACGACCCCTCGCGAGCCAGCGGCAAGGAAATTCACGATCGGTCTCCCGTCTCGTGATTTCGTCCCGTCGGAGAAGAGGGTGGCACAAATGATCCAGAATGGCTGCCTCACCTCCTCCAACTCCTTCGCCAGCTCCTCACGGTGGGTCTCCACCGCCTGCATACTCGCAATCTCGCTGTGGCTGGGGAGCACAGCGAGCGAGGAACTGCCAGGCTGCTCAAGAAGGACCTGCTAGTATGCCTTCCAAGCCTGGTTGCGGAAGGCATTGAAGGGGACCCTGCTGGAATAGAGCCAGCGAAGGAATGTCTTCTTGTGCCGAGCAACCCACTCGCCACCATAGACGTCAGTGACCTTCTGCTGGCGAATAGTCTTACCAACTGGGGCGGCGGCCAGATCTGTTCCACCTTCCTTCCTCTTGGAAGAACCCTCCCCTACAGGTCCCTTGGCTGCTCGCCTCAAAAAGTCCTCCATCCTCTATCCAGTGCCTGGATAAACCTCAGGCACGTCCTCGTGTCCCGGGACTCCCTGCTCACCCAGGACACGCGCCTCGCGATCGACGTCGATCGTGCCCTCCTCCATGTCTCCACCTCCACCATCTCCCCCGACCCCTCCTAACGCTCCCTCCACGGAATGCCGCTCCGCCCAGGACACGCGCCTCGCGATCGACCCCTCCTCCGTGCCAGGCACATCGAGTCCGCGCTCCGCCGCGTACCTCGCAACCCTCTCCATTTGATCGCTCTCGAACTTCTATTGACTTCGTCGCGCGAACTCGTACAAAGCCTCGTCGCTGACGTCCTTGCAGTAGTTCGTCTGGGTGAAATGCCTCGTCGCCTGGAATTGGCTCCCCTGAAATACTTTGTTGCAAAAAGTGCAACGCAGCATCATGACCCCATTGTTGTCGACCTTCTAACCGACAACAAGGTAACAGTACACAGGGGAGCGGCCCCTGAATGAGTCCTGCACATGGTCAGGGGCAGATTCATGTTGGCGCCGTTGCGACCTCCCCATGTCGGCCGCCCTCGCCGCCTCGCGAGTCAACAATCACAACACCCTCCTCCCCTCTGAACGCGTGGCCTCAGGCAACCCCTCCCCCCCCGTCGACCGGCTACCGCCCTCGTATCCCCGTCCGACAACCCTCCGATAAACCCCCCAACACCCCCCCTCCCCCACCGCCACCCCCGCATGGCCCCGCCCAACCCTGCTGAAACCTGCCAAACAGGGGTCAGACACGCTCGTTCAATCGCGTTGAACGCTGTTAAAACGCGTTCAACGCGTGCAATCGCGTTTAATGTCGTCGAATTAAAAATTTGACAGCGTTCGTCGGGTTCGCGCGCGCGCGCTTTCATCCGTCGTCGACCCGCTCCGCCGCTTCCCCGCCATCACCGCTCCGCTCCGTCGCGCTCCACGCTCCACGCTCCGCTCTCTCTCTCTCTCTCTCTCTCTCTCTCTCTCGTGCACGCGCGCGCGTGTTTCCACCTGACGGGCAACCAGTTTGACGCGTTGGAGTGTTAGTGCTCGCGCGGCAAATGAGCTGCGGCCGAACGCGCTTACCTGTTAAGTACCTGTTCGGGCCGTTCCCCCAGCGCCAACCCCAAGGACTCC